ATCCTGCTTTTGTGGGGGTGGGTAGGGGTGTTAAATAATTTGTTTAGTTTTTTTGCCCCATAGGTTTTTAACATTCTAAAAGCATTTTATTCCAAAGATACTACAAGCTAGTCAGTGTATTCAGCAGGTGTAATGTATTGTAAGTTGCTTCAAAGGAATTGCAAGTATTACATACAACAATAATAAAACAGTGCATTGACACAAAGAAGGAAATTTACTTTTGGTACTTAAGTACTCTTAAAAGCAAGTACTTCTGTACTTTTACTTAAGTAAAAATCTGTCTTTACAACTTTTACTTGTAATGGAGTAATATTTGACCAGCAGTATCTGTACTTTCACTCAAGTAATGGAGTAGTGTACTTTGTCCGCCTCTGCTAACATTAGATTGAGCTGCCATGTAAAGTTGCTACATTTTTCAGATAAGCCATATTTGAGATCGATGAATGTTAGGACTTAGGAGAGCATATGGATGTCCTGCCCTATGTAGCCTACTATATTACCGCATAGACCAGCCGTTAACGATTTGTCCGTCACGGACTGCGTGATTTCGCCACTTCATGTGGATTTTTTTTTTCTGCGACTAATAAAATTTTGGTAATATGCATATAAACTGTAACGGAAGTGGTCTGACGCAACAGGTTAGTATATATAAAACTGGTTTATGCGGTCACAGAGAGTACAGGGATAGGGTCCAGAGGATGGGATGGTGAATGAGTCGTTCGTGGAATAGTTCAAAGGATATGATGCGTGGGGGAATCCGAGTCCTTTGGCTTTACAGGAGCTGGGATGCAGGCATGAGGAGCTGTGTGCTGTATTTAAGGTGTGTCCTCAGCGATCCGGGAACTAGGAGGAACAGGAGACACTTGGAGACACTAGGAGGAACACAGGAGGCACGTAATGCAGGAAGTATTCACATGGATAAGCCATATTTGAGATCGATGAATGTTAGGACTTAGGAGAGCATATGGATGTCCTGCCCTATGTAGCCTACTATATTACCGCATAGACCAGCCGTTAACGATTTGTCCGTCACGGACTGCGTGATTTCGCCACTTCATGTGGATTTTTTTTTTCTGCGACTAATAAAATTTTGGTAATATGCATATAAACTGTAACGGAAGTGGTCTGACGCAACAGGTTAGTATATATAAAACTGGTTTATGCGGTCACAGAGAGTACAGGGATAGGGTCCAGAGGATAGGATGGTGAATGAGTCGTTCGTGGAATAGTTCAAAGGATATGATGCGTGGGGGAATCCGAGTCCTTTGGCTTTACAGGAGCTGGGATGCAAGCAGGAGGAGCTGTGTGCTGTATTTAAGGGGTGTCCTCAGCGATCCGGGAACTAGGAGGAACAGGAGACACTTGGAGACACTAGGAGGAACACAGGAGGCACGTAATGCAGGAAGTATTCACATGGCAGTAGTAGCAAAGTTATTGAGTCCTCTACGTGTATACGAGACCGGACAATGAGGGTGTCTGAGGTGTGTGCTCTTATGCAGGCTGGTTGATGAGGTTCTCGATTAGTGACAGGTGCAGGTGCTCAGAACTCAGGTGAGAGGGATCGTTGTGATTGGGTGGTGGCGGAGCCTGGCCGATCAGTTACATAAACAGCCTTTTAGTTAGCAGAGTAGAATAATCATGGCTGATAGTATGATGCAAACATAAAAGAAAACCAAACTGGACGCGAGAACAGCTATATATTAAGGATATAATAAAAAATTTGGAGTTGGAATAACCTCCAAACCAAAGCCGATACATTTTTAAAAGCTCATTATCGTCAAATGTTTCTAAAATGTTTATATTCCGAGGTAGATTGCTGGTAACAGCCATTTTAGGATAGTTTGTGACTTGGTCTTAGTGACTTAGGAGCCCTCTTCACTAGGCTACTCCTAACGTTTCACAGATTTAGGAGCTAGTTTTAGCGCTAAAACGCTTTGTGAAATACTCTTAGAACAAAAATTTAGGAGTCCTAAATTTAGAACTGACACGCCCATTATTTTTAAGATTTTCTACTAAATCGGCTAGTTATAAGCTACTTTTAGCCTTAAGATGTTTTGTGAATACTGGCCCTGTTCTCCTGTCTTGTTTAGTTCCTTTGACCTATAGTTTCCCTAGTTGTCTTGATTATGTCATACTATTCACCTGTGTTCATTTAATTATGTCATTAGTCCCTCTCTTGCCTTTGTATTTATACTCCCCGTTCTGTTCACTCCTTCGCCGGTTATTGTTTTGTTCAGTTGTGTTTTGTGCTACTTCCTGCTTCTGGATTCCTTGTGTTTATTTTCCTGTGGATTTATTATTAAAAGATGCGTGTATAGCACAGAAAGTATTCTTGTGTGCGTGTATAGCACAGAAACGTGACACATGTAGTGTGTTCCACTATGGAGTGTTTTTGATTTTGTTCTTGAAAAATAGAATAAAATTTCTATTTAACGTGTCATACCGTGCTTATTTATGTAATCTCTTCCATGGCAACACGTTTTTTTTCAAAGGACATGGGTTTAGGTGTCATTTTCACTAAGATGGAGAGGACTAAAGGAGAGCTGTGGATGGGATAAAAATGAGAAACCACTAGGTTGGGAGGTGAGAGAGATGATCTGCTACAGTGCTTTCTTATGTGAATATGCGTTTATAAAAACAACAGAATTTTAAAAGAAAAAATAGAACCGCAAAATCTTGGGAGCTTCCTTAGGATTGCTGGATGGCATTTCCCTTGGCTATACGGCCAATTAGAGGCAGGGCTCTGAGTTCGGCACGGAAGCTGTGATTTAGCCAGCAGTATATAAAGGGGTTATAGCAGGTAGAGCTCATGGCCAGCCAGTGGAAGATGAAGTACAGGGCATTGTTAGCCTGGATCACTTTACTTGACAGCAGCACAATGTAACAGTTTAGAGGAAACCAGCAGACTGCAAACACGGCCACCACTGCAATTAGCATTTTCAAAGTTGTCTTCTTCCTTCTGCGATGAGCGGCCGATTGAGCCAGCGTGACATCACCGACAGCATTCCGGAACCAGACCTTCTTGGCAACCACAAGGTACGATAAGGAGATAATTGCTAAAGGCAATACATAGAGCAGGACAAAGGTGGCAAGATCCAGATACTTCCAGAAGAGATCGGAGGGATGTGGAAAGCTGGGCAGACATACCATCCGCACTCTGTTATTGCTAAAAGAGACGAGAAGAGAAATCTTTTAACATCACATTATTGTTAAAGTAATAGTTCACCCCAAAATTAAAATTTGCTGAACATTTACTCAACACTTAGGATTTCCAAAATAAGTTTGATTCTTCATCGGAAAAGAATTGGAGAAATTTAGCATTATATCACTCACCGGTGAATTCTCTGCAGCCAATGAGTGCCGTCAGAATGAGAGTTCAAACAGCTGATAAAAACATCACAATAATCCACATGACACCAGTCCGTTTTAAATCAATTCATGTCTTGTGAAGTAAAAGGCTGCATGTTTTAATTTAAATACCAGTCCATAATCCATAATAACGCTTGCTCTAGTGAAAAAGTCCATCTTTAAGGTGAGTACATTTTCAGCTAATTTTCATTTTAAAGAGGAAAAGCATGTTTTTTTTTAATTCATGTAAAATAATTTAAGAACCATGTTGAACTAAATTGCATTTAAAAGCTCAAAACTAGAAGGTACAATCAGGGGTGACAGATTAAATACAATGGGAGGCTTCACTAGACACAAAACTTATCTCTCTGAAGTTCTTATCTCTTTCTCTCTCTAGGCCTGACTGCAAAAACACTTCCAATGATTGAAAGGTATCCTGTCTTGAATGCTGATTTTCAATATATTACAAATTAACAAGAGTTTCTTGTGCCCCTACACTGAGAACTAAATGTCCTTATTATAACGTTATAGCATTATCATTGTTTACATCCATTTAAATTGTCAAACCAATGTCTGTCATTTTTACTTGATTTTCATTTCCAACAAGAAAGAAAGAATAAAAAAGAAAAAGATCATACACAAATTCAAAGCGCAGCAGTTTCTGATAGATGGCATGAGGTAGAGAGAAGCAGGACCCCATGACCCAGACGACACCGATCCAGGCTATGCCCTGAAGCCGAGACATCCGCTGCTTCATTGGATGCATCACCACCTGATGGACAACAATAATAACCCATCATGATTTTACACTGGCACACACTGATTCACTAATTTTAAGGCGAGACACTGCAGGTGAATAGGGTAAAAAATAAAAATAAAAAATAGTTATCGCCTTACTTACCCAGCTGATTGATTACATTGATAATTGCAAACATTTTTTGTATTACAAGTTTTCTAAAATGTTATTTCATTATTTAATGAAATATGCGCTAATTTGCATACATTTCTTATACAAAAATCTAAACACGGGATGATGTCAGTTCCAAAATTCTAGTTTAAATTTTTTGACATATTAGCGTCAAAAGTTTTTACAGAGGGAATTTTGGGTATCTCATTTTTGTCACTCCATAATTCCGAAAATGCTTAGAATGGACAGAAAACACTATATTTTCAAAATTTTGGGGGGATTAAAATGTTGAATATAATCAAGCAATTATATATGAACAAATCCCTCTGTAAAAAACTTCAGGATATAGACAGGAATAAAAATGTAAAGTTTGGTGTGTGTAAGTGCTACTGAAGTGGAGATTTATGGCTCAATGTAGGAGAAAAAACTCATTTTGAGAAAACGGCCTTTAAAAATATAAATTATAATTGAAATCTATTGACACAAATAGATAAAGTGCTATAAAAGAAACACTTAACATTGTCTTTTGGATGTTTTCTTTCCACTAGTCTGAAAAAAACTAAAATCCCGAAATCTCATACTTGCAGGTGCATGAAAAAACAATGTTTTTGCCTGCAGTGTCTCCCCTTAAAATGATTATGAAAAAGCTATTCTCACTAAAGTTTTCATTGTTAAGATGTCTGTGTATGTCTGTTTGTGAGAACACTTACTTGGTGTCTATCAATGGCGATAGCGACCAGCGTAAGAACAGAGACATGAACAGAACAATACTGAGCAAAGCGGCTCACATGGCACATCGCCTTCCCAAACATCCATGTACTGTAAACAAATCGAACCTGAGAGAACACATATACAATAAAGTGGCCTTGGATAAAGATGCATGTAAGAATTAAAAAGCACACACATGCGCACCCCCACACACTCACAGAGAGATGAATCATGCACCTCCTCTAAATGGTCGTCACTAAACAACTAAGAACAATGATAAAGATAACACACACCAGAGGGAGTAAGCAGCTTAACCATACCAAGACCTTTAATCAATTCAATATGGCCATATTTGAGAAAAAAGGTCAGGTGGTTTGCATTACTGAAATATATTATGTATTATTTTGCAACACCACACTTTGTGGTGTTAACCAAATTAACCATCATAAGTTCTACTAAAATCAAGGAATACAACAATTTTCTAAGTAAAATGTACACATTTAATTCATGTAATTAATGTACTGTGTGGGGAAAAGTAACTCTTATTAATATTTACTTGTAATATTTACATGTTTTATAGTCATTGCACATAAA